ACTGCCCTCCTGGTCGATCGGGATAGCCCAACTAGAGTAGCTGGACCCGACCACTAGCGCCTCCCCATCTCCCGATAGGGCTGGGCAGGTCTCGCCAGCAGAGTCTTCCCCTTCTCCGCCGCTCGGCCAACATAGACGGCACACATGGGTGTACTCGGATTTATGCGCAATCTAAAGACTGCTCCGGGGAGCTCGACCACAACGTACTTAGACCTCCGGTCCTCCGCTCGCGGTATCTTAGCGGCAGGGGCCCCCGACTCCTCATGACTATCACTGCTCGCCTCCTGACCCTCCGGGACCGGTTCCAGACTATCGGCGGCGCCTATGCCTGTCCGCCAAGTCTCCGCGAGCTTATCGGCCACCTCTGTCGCCGTCTGTTCCGGGAGTGAATGGCGATCTTTTAGCCAATCTTGAAGGGAGCTAGCCACCTCGCGCTCGTCCAAGGTGTGGTAGCGATTTTCCTCTCTGGCCGCCACCGCAAACTTTAGCTGGAGCTTGGCCACCCTGCCCCCATAAGATCGGCATAGGTGTCGGACCCCTCCAGCTTCCACCTTCTTAGGAGGTCTTTCTTGGGCCCAGTGACTCCTAGCACACTGAGCCCAGTGGGTAGCACTGATCTCTCAGTGCTCTGTCCAGAAGCCTTGGGCTATAGCGGGAATGCCCGCTCTCTGCAGAATAGCGGCCGAGACTGCAACCACGTCCGCATACTCGGCCATCGAAGACCGCAAAGTTCGGCTTCAGCTTAGGTAGCAAGCAGTCTCGGCCAAAGGTCGCCAACCATTCGGTCCAGACATCTTGGTCCGGCGTAGCGTGGTGACCAGTCGGCCCTCCACTAGCTTCAGCTCTCCAGGGCGGATGGCTTGGAGATCTGACCACCTTAGCGACGCCCAGACCTTGACCAACTTGGCCCAAGCATAGACACGCAAGCCTGTCGGCTCGCTATCGTCGAGGACCACTCTCTCGATGGCCACCTTGCAAGACCATCACTGCATAGCGGGGGAGCACCCTCGTAGAGGACCGCGACAATCTTATCCTTGGCCGCCCAAGCCAATCCTGTAGCGCGGAGCAACTTGAACTCCGCCAACTTTTCCATCCAGGAGACAGCTTTTAGCAGGCTATCGGGGACTGTCCGAACGCAAGGCTCGTCCCTTAGCACCAGCAGGTAGTCGACCAAGTCCGCCGGCCTGCCAGGAGGATCGACACGCTTAGCCTCTTGCAACCATAGCCGCCTCTTGTACATGGTGACATAGCGCTTCCGGGCAACAACTCATATGCCCTCTCGGGATCCAAGCAGTCATCTATCGTCTTGACCACTGGCGCCCCCCCAACTACCAGCTCTTCTCCGAGCTGGCGTGTCCAGAGAACTTGAAGACGAAGCTCTCTAGCGGCCCTCTCATCGCCATTCGCAAGCAGCTTCTTGATCTTCTCGCCAGGCGGAGGCCTGTCCTCTTCTTGGCTTAGCGCCGGCTGTGTTGCCAGCCAGGGCCTAGCGGGGGCGCTCGCTGATCCAGCTGGCCAGATCACTGGCTAGGACCCCTCCTGTGCGCTGCAGCACGCCATCCTCCTTCTTAGCGGCGGTAACGAGGCCCTAGCAAGTTCTTCCGAGCGCGGTATGTTCAGCTCGAAAGCGAGCTGTCAATGACCGCACTATCGGCCACCTCCAGAGTAGCCAGCTCTCGGGCTCCGAACCCCTGAGTCCGCAGGTGCTCGGATATCTCCGGCGGCTTCGCAGCCATTGCTCGTAGCGCAGGGTTCCCCCTGCGTTTCCTTTCACTAACCTGCACTCAAAACTTGCCCCCCTTTTCAAGTGGTCTTTATCCGAAACGGCAACGGTTACAACCATGCGTTTCAAGACAGGTTTGTGTACAACATATCGGAACTACAGTTCCTACAAAAACACCTTCGATGTTTTTGTT